TCTTTTTCCACTCTAATTTTGTTTATTGAAATACAAATTACGCAAGTTATTGTTTGGTGATTTCTTTATTACATCAAGAAAAATGCAAAAGTATCTAATAGAGTATAAGGCATAAAGTTGTAGATCTTTTTCTTAGCTTTCCAAGGACACTTCAATCATCTCAATCAAACCTCTTTGACAAAAATTACTCCTTGTACAGTACAAAAGTGTCAAAATGAGAACAAAATTTAAAAATATTCTAGAGATTTTTAAAAAAAGTTTCCAAGTATCGAAATTGTAAAGAAGCTTGCCAGAGAAGAATTTTATGAGGTTTTAATATCTCATCAAACTTTCTACAAAATGTACTCATAAAGTTAAGAACTTGTGGAGATTCTTAAAAGATGCTTATCCAATATTTTTTTTGTTTTATTTATTTTTCTTTTCTCTAATTTCTGATATTAATATATAAATTATTATTTATTTACTAATTCTATAGAAAAATGTGTAAATGAGTAAATAATAAATTATAAATTATTTTTACTTTAATAATTTATAGCATTAATGTGTAGTTTCTCAACTTTTGTGTGCTACAATATTATTATTATTATTATTATTATTATTATTATATATATATATATATATATTTATATGTGTGTGTGCCTGTGTGTGTATCGACATTATCTTAGGTCTCATGTAATATTTTTGTAATTGAAAATTATATATAATTAATAAATAACTAATTTATCAAATAAAATAAAATTTCTTCCACAATAAAATTATATTTATAATTAACTCATTAAATTAATTAAATATTTTTTATATAGCAATTTGTAATAATAATGTGTAAGGACTCTATTATTATGCGTTATAAATTGACGAGACTTATGTATATCAATGTTACCTTACATCTTATGCAATATAAATCTACTTCTAAACTAACTTGTGTTTTAATTTTCTTTTATTAAATAATCATCTTTACTAATTAACTTAAGTATACTTTTTACTCTTTAAATATTCTTCTTTTTAAAAATAATTAATTTAGTAATTACTTTAAAAATCAGTATTAACTAAATAAGTTAAATAACCAATTTTTTGCATACTGAAACTATTTTTTTATTTTATTATATAATATTTTACAAAATTAATATGTGATTTACATTATTTTTAATTATTAAATAAGTTATACAAGATTTATGTATAGCTTAAATTATGCTAAATTCTTGGTAAAATAAGTTTTCAATTAAAACACTTTATTTTAATTATTAATCTCTCTCTCTCTCTTTCTTTTAATAATTTACAATATGGATGTGTTATCTTTCTTTACTTCTTGTATTGTATATTTTAGACAGTGCTATCTTGTACTCTGAAATTTTATATTAAAAATTTTAATCTTAAAATAATTCTCTTTTATTAAAATTTAAGTTAACAAGCTTCTTTTATAATTTTTACATAAAACTACGTAGCTTTGAGCTCTCGTTGTAGCTAAGATATGTAGCAACAAGAGTTGACTCATTCAGTCAAAATAATTTCTTAAAATTATTTTTCTCTATTCTTAAATATCAATTAATATTTTAATAAATAAATTATCCCTCATTTAAAAATAAAGTGATAAAACATTATTGTTTAAGGGTTAAATAAGTATTTTTTAAAATTATAATGAATTTATATAATTAACTTATCAAAATTGTTATTTAAATTAAGATGTTAATACATTTAATAACTTATAAAGTTATTTTTAGTTTTAAAGATCATACTGTTTTAATTTTTTTTTAATATTTTCTTTAATAAACTTTGATAACAATTTTTAAATTTTAAAAAATATTTATTCAATGTTGTGATAAATGGTTGGTTAGTTAACCTTACATTTTATAAAAATTATTAAATAATGTAAGTTTCAAAATTAACACCTACTGTCTACTTGTCTACAAATCCTAACTCAATGGATCAATTTTTTAAAAAATAATTACATTCCATGTTTACCTCTAGTTAAAGTCAAACTTTATAATTATATTAATTGTTAAGAAGTTAAAAATGTCTAATAATAAATGATAAATATGAAAAGATAAATAAATGCTTCTAAATCTTTATAAAAAGTCTTGCATTAAAGACTGATAAAATACTTTAAACAATATGTACCAAAAAGACCGAATTAATTAGTATGACATGCTCATGTTAAATCTTTTTAGGAATATGTATATGTATGGGTAGATGAGATCATTTTATAATTTTTTTAAAAGTAAATACTCACTAAGATGATTATACTACTTGCACTTAAATTGTTTTAATCTAAAAATTGATTTATTTAATTTAATTTAGTAGTTTCCTTAAGGACTATAACGATGTACTTAATGTAACTTAAAACCTTCAAAGATGTTTTTATAAAAATCTATATAAATAAGTCATAACATTCATTAGGTGCAAGTCAAGTCTTTTGTGTATTGCCAAATTAAGTATAACAAAGTAGTTATAATCAATATCAAGATAAGCCTTAGTGAAAAATATAATGTTGGCCAACAAGTTGGTCATATATCTTGTAATCATATAATTATCATTTCTTTTTTCACAACATCTCATTTATAACAAATTGGTTTATGTGTTCATGTGTATAAACTTTGCTCAACAATTTGTTCCTCCTGAAGAAATTTTAATTATGCCTTAACCGAATCTATCCATTTTCACTCATCACTTTTTCGTTTACATTTGTTAATCATCTTCATTATCATTCATCATATCTAACATCTTGTTATTGCAAAAAAATTGTCAACACTCAATGATCAACTAATATTATTACACAAAAAAATAAAGAAAATAAAATAAAATCTTACAAATTTTAGTACAAACAAGCTTTGTGAATAAGACATCAATAAATGTTAATCTTGTTTTAACTTATCTCTTTTATGATTGTATTTTACTAACTGTGATCATTCACATATCTTAATTATGTGAATATCAATGATGATGATGCAATATTAATCATTTTTTTAAACATTTATCCCAATAATAATGATAAATTTGAGAAAACATTAAATTTCAACATGTTTGTTAACCTAACAACTAATTGAAAGCAATCTAAATTGATCATTAAAGTCCTAGATCTTATTTATCCTATAGATCTATTATTTAAGAGGAGGTTGATGTTTCTCTCTCACAACTCAAGTAATATGCATACAATTTGATCCATCCATATACATATATAAAAAACTAAGAAAAAAAATTTAAAAAATAAGAAACAATTATGATAGAAGCATAAAATTATTATAAAACTCACGTACTATGATTAGTCAGTCTTAGTTAGGATTTAGTTACATATGATATATGTTGAATGAAATTCTAAAATCCTTAAACCAAAACATTGACACAAATAAAAAAGTAGAGAAAAGATAAAACGGACAGAATGTCTGCACTGTCAACCCAGTATAAAATATTAAATTTTAAAAAAATTAAATAAAAAAATTATTAAAAAAATAAAGAAACATAAGTTATTTTTTTTAAGAAACTTATTTATTTTTTTATATTAATTTTTTTCTCTACCAGAACATTTCTAAAAGTTTATTTAAACTAAATTCAAATCTAAAAAGTGGGACCCATGGCATAAAAAAAACTAAAAACAAAACATGAATGAAAAAAGAATGTATATTTTTTAAGAACAAAATAAACATAAAAAGTATACTTTTGATTAATTAAGCGTCCGCAGAAAATGACTGGGCTCAGCAGAGGTCATAACATCATTCACGTCCAAACAAGGAACTTCAACCAGTTCTGCTACAGATCCTAAGGATTTGAACATCGTTTTTATGGCCAAATTAATGATCATATGAAGTAACTTGACCATCAGAATAATCCTTTGCATTAATTTCATCACATTGGGTACCATTTGTTTCTCCAATTATGACATTGGAAGGGGATACACCAGTTTTCACTCCAAATGTGGTTGGGACCAATCATTCTTTACTAAATATATTTCGTATTTGTTGTATGTGTTGGTAACTTTTGAATTTTTATTTTTATTTATTCATAGTTAGTCTTATTCTTTAAATATTATATTGAAAAACTACCTGTCTTTGTTTTATAGAACTTGAGATAATAATATAATTTCACAATAATTTTGAAATAAAATTAGTGTTAGTTAAATATTTATATCATGATGAAATGTATAAAATTGATAAAATAAATAATATTTTGTTACTTTTGCACAATTTATTAATATTAATTTAGTAATATGTTAATTATATATTTTTTTAGTATTATCATTATTCAAGAAAGTTTAGAAAACGTGCATTTTGGTATATTACTGGTCATATGGACCGATATTAAAAAATTTTAAGTTGTAAAAATGAAAAACTATAAGTATATCACAACTAGAAAAATGTGATTTTGCAATCGACAAAATTAGTAGCTAAAAGTGTATAACTAAATTAGCAATCAAATATATTTGGTGGCTAAAACTTTAATCGCAAACCACAAAAATTTGAAGTCAGCGTCCAACAATTTCTTTTGCAAATTTTTGTTCGGTCACGAAATATTTGTACAAATGACTTGGTGACCCAAAGTAGCACTAAAAAATTTGGTGATAATGCGGTGGCTATTCTGCAATTAAAAATTCTTGTTTTTGTTTGTACAAATGATTTTACCCTCTAAATATTTTTGTATCAAATAAAAATGTTATACTGAAGAACTACTTGTTTTTTGTTTTACAGTATTTGAGATAATCATATAATTTCACACGTAATTTTAAGTTAAAATTAGTGTCAATTAAATATTTATGTTATGATGAAATATATGAAATTGATAAAATAAATAATATTTTGTTTTTGCACAATTTATTAATATTAATTTAGTAATATGTTAATTATACTTTTTTAGTATTATCATGTTTTAAAAAGTTTTACAGAACATGCATTTTTTGTAAATTACAGGTTTTAGAGTCCGATAATAAAAAATTTAAAGCTGTACGAATAAATAGTACAATATATGGTTGAAAATCAAAATGGAAGCAATGATTTATACACACATACATGCGTAGAATTTCTTTCATTTCCTGTTCAATTGATTTTATGTCATACAAGAAGTATCAAACATGGAAAGAATTAATAAATAATCTTGAATCAATCAATGTTTAAAATTAAAATGATCAAGAGAAAAAGAGAGTAAAACTGACAAATAAGATTGAGACTAATACAGGAAAAGACTTTGATAACCATTAAGTCACAGAGTACACATATTATAGCAACATAACTTATTTTTCTTTGCCCAGCTCACGCTTAGTTGAGGCTGATGCAATTTATTAATCGTTTAACATATATAATTGATAGTATTAAAGAGCAATTAAGCTCCACATAACATCGCTTTTTATTTAATTGCTATAGCATAGAACATTACTATGAGCTTTATATTATGCTGATTTATTTTTGGTCTTGGGTAAGGTAAGCATCAATGCCTTTGCTCATCTCAATGGCAAATTGTAACAAGGTGTGAGGATCGGAAATGTCGTGATTTTGTTTCTCATATTCCATAACCCAATTCACTTCACTGCCTTTTACCTTTGGAGTGGCTTCGATTCTGAACTTGAAGCTCTTGTAGTACCCAAGTATGTCTCCCTCTATAACCTTGAAGGTCATTTTATTATTCTCCCTGTCTATGCCTTCAACCACCTCCTTAGCAACACAAGCTTTCCCATCTATTGTTGTCCAAAACCAAAAATAAAAATAAAAATAAAAATTTGGTCTTAGTAATCATCATCACTTTAAAGTCAAGATAGAATGAACATTTATGAACTGCAATAGACATAACTAACATATAGAATTTACTAATAACAATTACTTGTGATGTATCCTTCATTTCTCCAGAGAAATTAAAGTAGCTTAATAAAAGAAGGGCGAAATATTAATGTGAGATAAAATTATTTGTATGATGGATGTAAAATAATGTGTAAAAGTGCAAAACATGCAAGAGGAACCTATCTGTTCATCGATAAAATTATGAAGTCATAGTTCTCATACCAAGTAAATAATTCCAGGTGATGATAGATCCTTCGTTACCCCATTCACCCTTATGGATGTTAACAGCCTGTACTTTTTCAGGGCAAATTTTGGCAATATGGTGTGTCCTGTTGCACATAACATCATAGAACTTCTCAGCAGAAGCCTTGATATGCACTTTAGTTTCCATCTTCTGAAGTTGAGAGTTTGCCATTATTTCTTCTCTCTTAAGATGATATAGAAAATAACTATTTCTTCTCTCTCAAGATGGTATACAAAATAATGTGCACAATAGCTGTATTTATAGTCTTGAAAAAGTTAACAGAAATCAAAAGATAAATCAAATAATGCATAAAAACGTATTAATTATTCAGTGCACAGTTATGGCAGCATCCCATTAAGATGTATTTTAATTTTAACATATTTTATTGGTCAGTTGTGAAGGGAATATGTGCTTGGTGATGTTACCATAACCACCACTAGCGGAAGTAACATCTTTCCTTTACGGATTCCGGCTGGGATAAAGGTGCTGGCAATGATATGGCTCTACGGGGGCCACATAACAAACAAGTGGGAATCATGGTGATCTAAAGATAAATACACCCCTTATGCTTTTAAATTAATAATAATAATAATAAATTGTTTAATTTCATTTCAATCCTTTTGTGTAGGTGAAAATTATATCTTTATAATAAATTAACAATAAAAAGATATATTAAATGGTGTAAAATCATATTTTGTACCTCTAGCATGAATGAAATTTTTTTTTAAGCACATCCCCATAATTCTTAGGATTTTACCTTTCAAATTCTTTTTGTGAAACTCAATTTGGAAGTCATTTCCCTACTTTTGATTCAAATCTCACAAGCTGTTCAATAAAAAATTCTGTAGAATTTTTTTCTTTCTGAAATTGCATGTTGCAACAACTTTCTCTTAATTTATGGAAAAATCTATATGTGAAAAATCCTTTCTTAGTCATGTTTCTATGTTCTAGGTCATATTAGCTTTCTAACAAGCTATCACAAGCTTGTTTTGAACTACAATTGCACCTTCAAAAGACTGAACTAAGTAAGTATTTCTTCCTAAAATCCTGACTAGACTAGATCAGCATAATGAGTATTGGAAATAATGAGCATGAAATTTAATATGGAGGCTCATTTTTAGAATCCTTGATGATTTATCTTTCAAACAAAACTAGTTTGACTTAATTTGGATGCTAAATTATCAACTTATACTCCAATCATGTAAGTGCTTCAGTTTTGGACTTTATTGTAATACATTAGTCTTACTCTTGTTCTCTGGAAAACTTTAAATCTCCTAACTGCATGGTAACTAATTAAAACTATTTCTTGTTGTATTATCTTTCCAAATAGTTATCTTAAGTTCAGTTGGACACTGTATGACTCAATTATGCCCAATTTGGAACATATTTGTACCTCACATGCTTTATTTGAATCCAAGCGCTTGAGTTACGAGAGCAATTGCAAGAACTATTTGACAAAGACAATTGTCAGCCTCTCTAACATGAGTGGAGTCTTTTTTTCTCATCAAAATGAGTTACTCTTTAAGGTGAGGGGGAGGAGAAAACTTTCATATGACTCAGGTTAAAAGTTAAGAGAATGGATAAGAATATATTTGGTAAAATTGTGAATGTTGTGTATGGTGGAAAGATTTTGAGAATTCCTCACAATGTTGATTTTATAGATATGTATTTGAAAATAAGATTGATATGGTGCACATATGTGTGTGAAATTTTGTTTTACAACACTATACTAAGTACACCTAAGCACTTGATTCTTGATAACTTAGAAAAGGATATGACCTCATGATTAAACTGTTGCTTTGGCAATCCAATGAACCACCAAGTCCCATGATTTTAAATCATGCTAATAAGTTTCATTACCCTAATCTATAATTTTAGTTAAAACAATTAATCGAAAAGCAAAAAAATTGGATAATTAGTTTACAAGATACTTCACTAATGGATGAAAAAGGAAATAGAAAATGAAGCATCAATAATTAGGCATCTGATCCTTTAGAAAATTTAATTGAATGTGATATGTGATGGCTCATATTTTGTTCCCACATTTATAGTCTTAGTGCATCCTTCACATGTCTTTTCATTCCCTTATTTCTTCCATTTAGTGTGTTTTTGCATTTTGCACTTTAATTAGAAATTTCTTGTAAATACTCATATTTTTCTTTTCTAACCTTTGTTCACTAATTTGGCCATAACTTTTTCTGTAGATATCCTTTTTGGCTGATTCTTTTTGCATTGGATTCCTTACATCTGGGGCTTCAATTTGGACATTTGGATCATGCTGTTTGGAGTTTGGAGATATTTTCTACGATTTTTAGAAATTTAGACTTTTAGTTTGACTTTTTGTATTGATTTTGTTTTGTCTTTCTTTTTCCGGTTTTGTTGAATTTATTTTCGGCCAGCCTTGGCCCATTTATCTTATTCTTTTAGGAGTAGTATTTATAGAGGCCAGGGGCTGATTTAGAAGCACCTCTAATTCATTTTTTCATTTTTCCAGTTTTGTAGAACTTTCCCGCTTCCAATAAACCTCTCATATTTTTACTCATTCTTCTTCTTCTCTTGCACCTTTACATTCTGGATTCATATTCCTCTACAATTGAAAGGCGATTAAGTTTCTGCAATTTCAAGATGTTTTCTTCTACGTTTCTCCTTCAATTACGTTGCCAAAGTCCAGATCGCATTTGTTCAAGACGTTTATGATTGCTCTGAGTTTGTTTTCTGATCTTACAATTTTGCAATTGCATAGAAAGTATGATTCGATTGAATTGTGCCTCGTTCTTGATCGACAAGCAATTGATTAATTGATTGTTGTACAGAAAAGATTTAAACAAATTCGGTATAATCACTTACGTTTGTGTTTTATGTATTCTAGATCTCAGTTTTTATTCTTGATTTTGGTTTGATTGTAATTGATTACCTACATTGCAATTTATGTTTTAATTTCTCTGCGATTTAATTCTTTTTCTGCGATTTAATTCTTTCTCTGCAATTTAATTCTCTACATTTAATCACAAAACTCCCCCCCCCCCAAACATACAGCATAATTGATATTGAAACAATATGCATTTGCATCCTTGTGAGAGATGACCTAGGTTGCTCCCTAAACTGCATGTTTTTAAGAGGAATCTAGTTACTTTTGATACCACTGCGACATGGATATCAAAATTGGTGCCGTTGTCGGAGATGCATTTTGTATTGTTTTGATTCAATGGTGCATTGTGTTTTTTGCATTCTGTGTTTGAAAAAGGACCTATAAAATTGATGCCCCAAACATCAAAGACCTCACAGAAAATAATGGGCTGCTGACGCATCTCATGTCTCCTGATAATAGTCCCTACCGCCTTCTGACATATCTCACAGTGATAGTCATATTTTAATACATCTTTTTCTCTATGTTTTTGATTTAATTGAGTCTTTTTAGTATATTATTTTGATGTGTTAGTTTAGATTTGTGTTGGTAAGTCATTTAGGATTTAAATTTAAATCTTTCTTAATTCCCGCCATAAATTCTTGTTTTGACACAGTTTCTTGAAAAGACCATATCTGGAGCTACACTACTCGGAATTGGACAAAATTGGTGTCCCTGGAAAGATAAGAGAGAGATCTACAACTTCTCTGTTGCAAGAAGAGCCCAGTTAGAACATCTTCAGGGCCAAAACTGCGTCACAATGTTGCGGTCCTGCAATGAATTTTTCAGAATTTAGTTTTATTGTTGACATTACTTAATTAGGGTTTTAGGAACCTCGTTAGGAAGCTGGGCCTTAATTAAGCCCAATTATTTTGTCTTTAAATAGGGTTTATGATTTTGCGTGGGGATCTTCTTCCCTCTTTTTTGCCTTAATTTTCAGAATTTTAAATAAAAGCTTTCGTAAGGATTCCTCTCGTCTCCCTCTCTTTTATTTTTGAAAACTTCATCCCCTTCTCTAATTGGTCGAGCAACATGATTATGAAGCAAGGCTAATTCATCAATTGGTTCAAGGTTTCAAAAACTACATTGCATTCGAGTTTCAAAATAGGTTTTATCGAATTCCTCATTTCCTTCCTCTTTTCTAATTAGGTTAATTACGTTTTTCATGATATGGAATTTTCGTTGCATCCTAAATAGAAAGAATAGGTTAATTTCAGATTTGAATTAATTGGATTCACCTAATTTAATCAATCAATTGTTCTAAATTTTGTTAAAGCATTGGGTTTGCGATTGCGGTTCTTGTTTTGATGGAATTCATAATCTAGATTTAGATTTTAGGGTTGTTGATGCGCATTGAATTAGTGTGATTGGAAATTCGTTGGGATTATATTTGTGTGAACGACAAGAATTGCATTGTAGGGATTGAGATCTTGAATTGGTTGAATTTCATAATCCTTAATTTTCATTTTTGTTATTTTGTCGTTTAAATTCAAAACAAATCTTCCCCCAATCTAATTTGAAATTGCATGATGGAACTAAAAATAAAATGCATTTTATGTCCTTGAGAGATGACCTAGGTTTGCTTCTTGTATTGCACAAATTTTTGAGAAAATCTAGCTTGTTTGATACCATTGCGACGTGGTTATCACACAGCTCTCAAAAAATCTGGCTGCATCTCTGAAAATGGTGGGACAATAAAATTTGTTGTCCAATACTCTCCTAGCTGTCCTCTGCGGTCGAAAATGGCCTCCTACAAATGTGCCATGACAAAAATGCAGAATGTCCTGAAATTCATAGTCAGGAACACATCAACGGATAACATGGTCATTACAAAACTTCCACAGATAAGGATCATCCCAGACATAATATTTAGTATTACTTTTCAATTTATCAACCTGGGATCTAGATGCATCAGGAGGTACAACAGAAGTAACCAAATAATTCACAATATCAGCAAACCAGGGAATAGAATCTATAAAGTTCAGAGCAAATAAATAATCATCAAGAAAACTATCACGAATAGGTAAAGGGTCAACAATCCCTTCAATACGACTCAAGTGATTAACAACCTAATTCAACACACCACTCCTGTCTTTTATCTCAATATCAAACTTCTGCAAAAGAAGCATCCATCTAATCAATCTAGGTTTCACATCCGGCTTCTTCAATAGGAATTTCAGTGCAGCATGATCTGTAAAGACAATTATTTTGGAGCCAAGCAGATAAGAACGAGATTTATCTAATGCAAATACAATAGCCAGCAGCTCCTTCTCAGTGGTGGTATAATTTATCTGAACTGCATCAAGAGTTCTAGAGGAATAGGCAATAACGTGCAAAAATTTACCAATTCTCTGAGATAATACAGCTCTTAGTGCAAAGTCGAAGGCGTCACATATCAACTCAAAGGGGAGCTCCCAATCTGGTGGCTACATGATAGGTGCTGTGGTGAGTCTCCTCCTCAACTCCTCAAATGCCTCACACGAATCAGTGAATAAGAACAATACGTCTTTCTGCAGAAGACTGGACAGTGGCAGAGCAATGGTACTGAAGTCTCTGATAAATCGCCTATAGAAACCTGCATGTCCAAAGAAAGAACGCACCTCCCGCACAAACACGGGGTAAGAGAGAGAGGAAATAACATCAATTTTTACCTTATCAACCTGTATTCCCCTCTCAGAAATAAGATGTCCTAAAACTACACCTTCCTTTACCATAAAGTGGCATTTCTCATAATTAAGCACAAGGTTAGTTTCAACACATCTTTCTAGTACCCTGGTTAAGTTATACAGACATGAATCAAATGAAGAATCATAAACAGTAAAATCATCCATAAACATCCCCATGCAATTATCAATTAAATCAGAAAAGACACTCAACATACACCTCTGAAAAGTAGTAGGTGCATTGCATAGGCCGAATGACATCCTTTTATAGGGAAAAGTGCCAAAAGGACAAGTGAAAGTGGTCTTGTGTTGGTCCTTAGGAGCAATATGAATCTGCATGTAACCAGAAAAACCATCTAGAAAATAATAATGGGATTTACCTGCCAACCTCTCAATGACCTGATCAATAAATAGGAGAGGGAAGTGGTCCTTTCTAGTAGCCTGATTGAGTCGCCTATAGTCAATACACACTCTTTATTTGTTAGCAACTCGGGTGAGGACCATCTCATTTTTCTGGTTCTACACAACAATACCACTTGGACATGTGAAACCCATTTACTGTCAGAAATGGGGTAGATGATTCCAGCCATCAGTAGCTTGGTCACCTCCTTCTTCACTACATCCAGAATGGTAGGATTGAGTCTTCTTTGGGGCTGTCTCACTGGCCTAGACTCATCCTCCAAGTGAATCCTGTGCATATATACAGCTGGACTAATTCCATGAATGTCATTCAATGTCCAACTGATAGCTTTCTTGTGCACCTTTAGGACTTGCAGTAGCTTCTCTTCTTGGTCCTCTAGAAGGCTGTTGGATATAATCACTAGGAACTTCTGCTCTGCGTCCAGATAAGCATATTTAAGGTGCTTTGGCAGAGGGCTCAACTCCAATGAAGGTGGCTGCTAAATAATTGATAATGGAGGTTGTTGGGCTGCAGCAACCATGGATATCACAGAATTTGGATCTGCACCTGCAATGGAAAGTAAAACAACAGAAGATATGGCAGTATTAATCTCAGCACAAATGAAACAAATGCCACTATCACAGGTGCAGTCTGGTAAAATATCTAAATCTAAATATGAAAACTGAGACAAATTAAAATCTAAATCTACATCTACATCAACAGCATCTACAACAATATTAGAATCTATGACATCAATATCAGAATCAAAATCAACATCAACATCAGAATCAAAAACAACATTTCTATCCAATACATCAACTAGAAAAACAGAAAAATTAGAACACTCTGAAAGCATCGAATGGCTCTCAGCTGGATGTCTCATGGTATCAAAGATATTGAAGTGAACTGTGTCATCTCCAAACTCCATGGACAATGTGCCTGTATGGACATCAATCTTGGTCTTCGCAATCATCAAGAATGGTATACCCAGAATCAAAGTCGAGTTCTCATCCTGCATATCAAGAATGTAAAAATCAGTTGGAAAAATCAATTGGTTAACTTTTACCAACACATCTTCAAGCACTCCCAAGGGCTGAGTTGTGCTTTGGTTTGCTAACTGAATAATGACGTTAGTTGGTTTCAAGTCTCCCAAATACAACATCTTCTATACAGCTGATGACATAACATTGATAGAAGCTCCTAAATCCAGCAAAGCACTAGTAAAAGAGGACTCTCCAATTGTGCAGGGAATGGAGAAAGTTCCTGGATCACCACATTTCTGTGCAAGGCTAGATTGGGACAAGGATGAAACTATCTGGACTTTCCTCTTCTTCAAGTTCCTCTTATAAGTACAGAGCTCCTTTAAGAATTTTGCATAACGAGGAATCTGTTTAATGGCATCCAACAAAGGAATATTAATCTCCACCTTCTTGAAAGTATCCAGCAACTCTTGGTCTATTTCTACTTTCTTTGATGAAAGAGTTCTAGATGGGAAAGGAAGGGGAATCTGCTGCTACTGCACAAAATTAACCATAAACTGATAACCTCTTGTTAGACTGCTTCTATAATGCGCTAATAACCTCTTTTATCTAAACTACAACAACTAACAATATAATCAGCATTTTATCTATAAAAGTAAGATTTAAGTATATGATTATAACTCTAACGTACATGAAATTATAGACTTATCAATCCCCTCATACTTGAGATTTGCTTGCCCTCAAGCAAAATTCCTGACGAAAGAATAAAGGAACAATTTGAAACATATCATCACAGCAAGGAACCCAAAATAATAGAGACATAAAGAACAAAAGAGTAATATCACAGAGTGTAGGTAATCAAAAGGTATTTTAAGAATTTCATATTCCCTATCTTCTTACTCAAACATCAAATTGTGGTACTCTACTCCCTTTTCTTTCTCAGTGTATAAGGACAGAAAGAGATAATGCTTAGCCCCTCTAAGAAGAAATATACTACCATAGGCTTAACCATAAACTGACTCTCCACTAAATCAATTTAATGCAATTAAAAATCATGAGGTCTTTTTCAAGTTGTAATGTGGCCAAAGGGTTATAATCATTAAGGTGAGATAAATAAAAGAAATGATGCACAAAGGGTTAATTAATTAAAACAATTACAAACACCCCCTAAGTTTATAAATGAAGCTTTTGGAGTAATAATTTTATATTTTCACTTTCAATCACTTTCTTTACTCCTCTTTTCTTTCATTCATATGTAATCCATCTTTCTTTTTACAATTTTTCATTCTTTTTTGCAACTACACAAGAGATATAGAGAAGAATTTTACCAAACAATCCAACAACTCAATGGCTCCATTCGTAAACTCAAAGTCATTAAAAATTTTATAATTTCAAAGCAAGGGACCAAGAAAAATTAATAAAGCTCAAAGTGGGTAACTAGTTGTATTTGTTTCTCAAAGCATGCTGAAGCCTAAGAAAAAAATAATTCTAATATGTCTCAATCATATTTAAAATATACAATCAAACGAAGTAGCCTCAAATCAGTTACAAGTCAAGTTCTAGAACACAAATCTAAAAGGGATAATCACACAAAATAATGAAGAAAAAGGGTATCATTAATTAATTTAAGGAAAAGCAAATCTCAATAAAGGCTCAAAACTCACATGTGTGTGGTAAAATTTAACAGAGAGCAAAAAGTTAGAGCTTTCACAAATTTGTCATTTCCTAATTAATCCAAAACTCAATAGAAATCACTCAACATGTTCTTTTATTTTTAAAAAAAATTAGGTTCCTTGGAATAAAATTTTCAAATTTTCCAAAAAAAAGGGAGCATAAGAGATTACTTAGGGACAAGTAATAATGGAACCCCTTCTCATACTTAAAGCATAACATTGTTCGTAATGTTTAAGAAAATGAGAAAGAAAGTGGAGGCAAAGAGGGCATGAGAAATAAAGAAGAAAGAGACTCCCTGATCGTGAAGAAAACTATCAAAGCTACTACTAATCATATAGCACGGTCATGCTAGATGAGGAGGCACACTCGTGCATAGATGAAGAAGACCTAGAATCTAGATGCAGTTGTTAGCACAGCAGTGCACCTTACAAGCATGGGCGTGCATGTGGAATGGGCACATCCAAAAAAAGTCATCATGATGATCGTCTCTCTTTCTAAAATTCATAATTAATTCATTATAATTCTAAAAATTCTAACATAAATTTGATGCCTACAAATTTCAATTTGAGTAATGGTTTTTGCTTGCAAGTCACACATTCTATTGTAGTAGATTTAAGTCGTGGTTTCTATTTACATGTCACACATTGTCCTATTTCAAAAGCAAACTCTTAGAAAAATTATAACTTACTCATTTAAATCCAAATGTTATGAAATTAATGGAGCTGTTCTCCTATATTTATTTATTTATTTTTTCAAGCAAAAATATATGTTTAGACTTGAGGTTCATAAGTCACTCTCTGAAGAAACAAACTTCCTCTACAAGTTATAGGATTTTACTTTTCACATAAAAGTGGGTTAGAAAATTCATATCTTTCTTTTTCAAATATAATTACAATTTAAACAATTACAAAGTCTTATACGATACACAATTTGCCTCTGCAGGTCATAGGATTCCTTCTTTCTAACAACTTGATATAAAAATCATAATTTATTTTAATTCAAATTTTACTGAAACCTATGAGAAATTAATCTTAATATAGTCTTTTATCTAAATAAAATATTTCTATAAATATTTCCAAACCAGTCGTAGAAATTTGTAAAATTTGCAATTTAACACCTAAATTTTTTATTATTTACAAAAACAACCTTTTACCAAAATTTGGTGATTTTTAGGTTGGTTAGCACGTTTTCCTATACCTCTAAGTCATTTTTCAAGTCTTAATATGGTCAAAAATATTCCTTTGATCCTATCACGCATGTAATCAAATATTTTAAAATTTTAAAGTCCACTTTTGGTCAAAACTATGATATTTTCTTATTTAAAGATTTAATCTTTTCAAATTTATCCTAATTTGTTTGTCAACTTTATATATTTGAAATGGTCTAAGTTCCCAAAGTGTGTAAGGTTCTAAAATTTTTTTTCTTAGTTACTTTCTATTTTCTGGTTATTTTCTACCAATTTTTTTGAAAATACATTTAAATTGTTATTTAAATTTAAAATAATACTGAAAACTCCATAATAACATAATCAAGTATTCTTACCTATGAGAATAATTTTTGTGATTTTAGGAATTTTCTAAAATTAAAAATAACATAAAACATTTCTATACTACTTAAAACTTCCAATTTTCTTTAAAATTTGTGAAAAATTCAATTTATATCCAACCAAAGAGGAAATCACAAATTTTATTTCAATAATAATATAATCAAGTCACACAAACATCAACCAAAGGTTAAAAATTTAGTTTATGCATTTAAAATGATATTTGTAAAAACAACATAATCTAAGACCAAAAATACTCAAATTTGCAGAAAATTCCTAAAAAAGATTTCAACAATTCTAAAGCATGAAATCATATATACTCATATATCATGAACATAGCACCTGTAAGCAATGTCATCAATAAAATTTTCCCTAAACACCCTTTTATAGTTTGTTAGGATTTTTCTATGAAATTTTCTATTTTTGTTGGTTTTAGGAATTTTCTTAGAATTTTTTGTCAAACCAATTTTTAATGTCATACACCAATTAGGACCATGAAATTTTTATCAAATAAAAAAGGCTAAGAGTTTTCTTTGACTTCAACTCATATAGCAAAAGTAGCCCTTAATTTATGAACTGCCCTCCTTTACTTGATTTTTGTTTTGCTTTTGTGAAGATGAAAGTGGGTGGTTGCCTCCTCTCCCTTTCTTATTACTATTTCATATATTTTGGGTTTCCTCCTTACTCCTTGAAGTCAGCTATCTCACATTTAAAAACAGCACCTAAGGGATTGAAGTTTTTCTACTTAATTGGTTGGTGGGGTATTAGTATTTTGTCTAGTCTTTCTTTGAATTTTTCAAGTGTTTGGTTATGAAATAGGTCATGGTTGATGGTGTGAGATTCCTTTAGTATGTGTTTGTTATCATCAAAGGGTTGAAAGGGTTCGAATTTGCTAAAATAGGAAAATTTTGGCAAAGTGTTCAAAGTTGCTCCTTGGCTTTTATGTGAACTTTTCTTGACTTTCAGTTTGCATAGACTTTTTCAAAATTTTTCTTGACTTCTTGTGTGATGGGGTATCTGGCTATATAGTGGATTATTATTCCAATATTTTTCTTCATGAAATTGGCCCTCCATTCAACTTCCTTCAATGTGTAAAGTGGCCTACAAAAGTTTGCACAAGGTGGAAAAATTTGGCCTTTATGATGTCATTTGGTTTGTCTCTTATGTTTGCTTGTTAGCTCTTAATTCTCTTGCTAATCAAGTTTGATTTCCATTCTCTAATTATCATCCATTAATGGTCAATTTGAGAAAAATTTAGTTACAATTTAGTTAGGCTAATTGGATAGGAATATTGCATTGACCCAAATGTATTTCTCATGGAGTTTTGGTAGACTAAGCTTCCTCTCCCATTGGTGTAACACTCTCTTTTTTATTCCTTTGTTTTTGGACAAATAGGAATTTTGGCATAGCATTTCACGCTCAAGAGAGATATATCTCGCTCAAGTTAGACAAATATTTTTGAACTAGGCTTTTTGGAGTAAGCGAGAAAGGATAAAATCACCCTAACTGTCTTCTTGCCCAGTAAAGAAGTGGCTTGCTCAAGTGAGAAGGGCTATCGCCTAGGCAGCCTCATAGGAAAATTTAGGAATTCTCTAAACCTATTCTAGCTCAGGCAAGAATACCTCTCGCCTAAGCAAGAATATTAGAAAAAGGTTAGAAAATCACTATCTGGTTTTCTCATTTAGGCTAGAAGGATCTCACTCAGGCAAGAATGAGCTCGCTTAGGCGAGAATGCACTTGCTCAATCGAGAGCTCGCTCGCTTAAGCAAGAATGCACGGGTCAGAAAGGTATTTAAGGGAGTTTGCATTGAAAAATTTTATTTTACACCAAAAGCACCTCTCCCTCTCTATTCTCTTCATTCTCTCCCTCTCCCTTCTCAGAGAAAGCCTCCCCTAATCCTAAATCTTTTTCAAATCTAAGCTTGAAATGTCGATTTCACTTAAATCTAAGTAAGCTTATTGAGT